TTAGTAGAGACGGGGTTTCACCATGTTGACCAGGATGGTCTCGATCTCTTGACCTCGTGATCCACCCGCCTCGGCCTCCCAAAGTGCTGGGAATATAAGCGTGAGCCACCGCGCCTGGCCCAGTTCCGTTTTGTTTTTTTTTTAAGATAACACTTGTTTGAATTCAATAAAGTCATGTATAAGAATATAATACCTCACCAAGCACAAACATCCATGCCAATAAATACTAATTCCCCACCAAATTGTCCCACCAACATTTACATTTTAACAGAATTAAAATAATACTAACTAAGGACTAAGGGGTTACTTAAACTTCCTATAAGAAGAGGGAAATGTGGATGCAGTGACACAAACAGGAAAAAAGCCATGTGAAGATAAAGACTGGAGAGGTCCATCTACCAGCTAAAGAACGCTAAGGATTGCCATCGGCCACTGAAGACTAGAAGCAGTAAGGAATGCTCCTTTCCTAGAGCCTTTGGTGGGAGCAGGTCCCTGCCAACATCTTGATTTCAGACTTCTAACCTCCAGAACTGTGAGACAATAAATTTCTGCTACTTTAAGTCTTCCAGCTTGTGGTACTTCATTATGACGTTCCTAGGAAACTAAAACAGTAACTCTATTTTTTAAGAGACTTGGCAGCACCTTAACAATGCCTCCCAGTAAGTTGTGCTGACAAACTGCCAACCCTCACTCAAATGGCTGCACTGGTTGGTTGTTGTCAGCACTAGTTTTGATTGGTTGGATCCAGCTCATTCTGATTGGTTGATGCCTCTGTCACAGGTTGTTAAATATTTTTAATAACATTCCTGCCTGTAAAGTAGACCAACAGATATCCAATACTGTAATTTTTAATTATTTAATTAAGGATATCCATTGTGTAGATGGAATTACTGTTTTAAATTCCAGCTCTACACTATCCGACCACAAAGCAGACCCTGTGACAGTCTTCTACCATTGAAACCTTTGTATTCAGAAAAATGTAAATTTAACATTGGCTTAAACTGAGAAACATATATGTACTGACCGTTGACATTGCCACTGTTTCACATCAAACATCTATCTATTATTCCTTCTTTTGGAGCAGTAGTCATTGCTCCTTTAAGGAACCATTCCCTGATTTTGAAAGCAATGATTCCTTAGAGGAACATTGGCTACTGTTCCTCTAATTACAGCTCCAGGGATAGACACAGGACTCCAATCTTGCCAATCAGTACTGCTGGCCCCAGAGACTCTGAAGGACAAATTATCTACAATCACAGCCAATGGGATACAATTCAGGATTTGGTTTGGGGAGTTTGGGAAAGGTGGCTGTTCTCTTTTCCACAAGGTTTGAACCAGACAGACCAAAAATTAAAATACAATAAACCAACTGGCAGCCACCAGGTAATTAAACAAAGTCTGCTTTGCAACTCAGAGGAAAGCAAGACCATGAGATGCAAAGAAACCAGATTCTGACTAGGTTATTTACACCAACCATATCTGAAACTAGTTCTACCTCAACTTTTCAATTATATGACCCCAAAAAGTCCCTTCTTGGCTTCACCCAATAGGTTGGGTTTTATGTCACTTGCAACCAAAATAATTTTGCTCTTAAGTAACATAAATTGTGTTTAATAGTTTAAAAATAGAAGATTCCTATTGTATTGTATCATCAATCTCACTGTGATAATCAACAGTTGATTATATAAAAGATTTACCATACACAGTTATGCATCACCTAATGGCAGGAATACCTTTTGAGAAACACGTCATTGAGCTATTCTGTCATGGTACAACATCAAAGACTGTGCTTACACAAACCTGAATGGTATAGCCTCCTACGTACCTAGGCTATATGACATAGTTGCTTGCTCCTAGGCTGCAAACCTGTACAGCATGTTACTGTACTAATTGCAGACAACTGTAACAAAATAAGTATTTGTGTATCTAAGCATGTTTGAACAAAGAAAAGGTACCGTAAAAATGCAGTATTATAATCTTATGGGAACACTGTATATGTGGTCTGTCTTTGACTGAAATGTTATTATGCAGCATGACTATACAGTAAAACTATAATAGCAGGTGTTTGTGAGAAAAATTACTCAAAGTCTGCAATTTCAAAATGATCTAGCCATAGAGATAAAAACCAAAACTCTCAGGATATTCTGAGAACACAAAGCTGCATTGTGTGCACTAAATATAACTCATTAAATGAGGGTAACTGCTCTATTTTGTATTTTCCTATATCTGAGCCCTGGTCATACAACCTCCTCTTAAGGGAACATAACGTTTAGTAAAATTCTAATTATAATGCAAAATACATCTCCTTTGACATTAAAAGAGATGAGTCAAAAATTCCTGTGCACCTATGTTATAAAATCTAAATATATTATCTGGCCTCTTTCCCAATGAGTTAAGATAAAGAGATATGTCACTTTCAATATTACTTATAATGTGAGGAATTTTTACTTACATTTTAGGTAATTTCTAATAGCATTTATTATTATCTATAGGGAAGTACACTGGGTTTTTGCTCTATATTTGGTACTAGTGATTTTTTTCAATATCAATCTTTTCAGTCAAGATTAGCCTTGAAAAATTAAATATAGAGTTTTTTGGATTTTGATTTCCCTTTAAACACTTCCACAAAACTAGGTCTTTCTCCTACTTTCTTTTAATTTAAGGCAGAAAAATATGTCTTGTTCTTCTCTGTTGAAGATGCTTTTTTAGAGACAAACACAAAAGCATGAGAACCGCAACTCTCTGTCAGCCCCGTAGTCCATCTAGCCCAGTAAACAATGTTAACTCAAATCCCCGCTTGGCAATGAAGTTTTCCAGACCATTCCAATTAACACTCCTCTCTTGCTTCCCTGCATCCTTTTTGTACTTATCATAGCTTACACTTCAACATTTAACTCTTCTTTAATTTTTTAACATTTGTTATTTTTATTTCTCCCAGTAGATCATAAGCTCAGGGCGTAGGCCCCCAGCCTCTAAGGGATGGCATTCCACATAAAAACCTGATGCAGACAGTGTATGAAAACACCCTGGACAAGCATGTGAGGATGTAATAACAAAGGGGAGCTTCGAGTTTATCCAATTCAAGCCTCTCATTTTAAAGATAAGAGGGTGAAGGAGTAAAGCACTTCTAAGAAACTTGTCTTACCGCTAATTAGTTGGAGACAGAGCAGGAAGTGGAGAAAGCGGATCTCTTGACCTGAGTATTCTTTCTAGCACACTAAGCAAATTCTGCCAGAGAGCAGGACCATGGCTTACTGACTCTCATGGACTGGTACGGGCCAGTGCTTTGCACTTTAAATAACAAACTCAAGCCACTCAAGTGTGATCTGGGGACCAGCAGCCACAGCATGAGCTGCAAGCTTATTAGACAGACATGCAGAATCTCAAGCTCCACCCAAGACTTCCTGATTCTGTATTTAAAATGTGATCCCCGGGTGATTTGTATGCACATTTTGGAAGTACTGAGGCATGTACTGCAATCCCTGACTCAAAGCGACAGCAAACTAACTGCATTAACAATGGCTTGCAATTGGAGCTGCACATTAGACCCCCCTGGGGAGTTTTCAAAATGTTGCTGGGGTACCACCTCAGAACAATTAAGTCAGAATCTACCTAGCAGATTCTAGCACAGCAGCCAAATTTGAGAATGACTATACTCAATTCCTT